CTCTCCCCCGCCCCTCCGCCCCCCCGCGTTCATTGTCAGATACATTTCACGAGGTGAAGCGGGCGAACCTGTCAGCATCCAGTTCAGGGACGTTAAATAGTGCTGTTGGCACAACCGCGCTGCCTTCATTGTTTTTTTATTGAAATGCTAAATGATCTGGCTATTACCTCATCAAGGACATGTTTCTTTTTTTTTTTTTTTTTTTTTTAATTAAGTTATTAGACTGCAGCAGCTTCTCTCATCTGGTAGAACTACCTCACTGACAAGTCACTTAATGCTTTCAATTACGTTTCAAGGAGAAGGGCCAGATCCAGACGCGATACGCAAATTAAAAACCACTTTGACAAACATGACATTTTTTGATGTAAGGGGTTCAATCGTGAAGTGCATCCCTTTTGATTTTGGGTTGGCTTATTTAGGAATGATTGATCTGAGCAACAGTGAAAGTAGCAAAAGACCAAACACTATTTTACAGTTACAGAAAAACTATCATACAAAAAAAAAAAAAAAAAACACCCAAGATGAAAAGTTTTTATAAAATCTTGTGTATTTTCTACAGTATTTTGTCTACATACTCATACTTCCACGGAATGATTTTGTTAAGGAATTGGATGTTCCTCAAAGTAAACACTAAGTGGTGGTTCGAGTCCACCAAGTTACCACTGAGCAATGCACCGTCTTAGTGTTCTTGCCTTACAACGTGAAGGTCATTGGTTTGATCCCCAGTGCTAACAAATGGGATTTGCATGTTTTTTTAAAAAAAAAAAATCTGGATTAGGTTAGTTACTGGTAGACAATGTCGACTACATTGACTATAGGCAAAAGACGATGTTTTTTAATCTTTTTTTTTTTTTTAAACAGGGGAGATTAACTATTTATTTCTGAATTTTCTGTCCAACCACCAGCCACCTGGAAGGTCACAAAAGCAACGAATGGCATGAATTCAGAAAAATGCACATTTTCCTCTTTTGGTTTTTGTATAGACTTAGCTAGGTAGGACCACAAATCTTAGGCGCTCCTCAGATGTGAATTTTTGTTCCACATTCCACTGTAACCTGTCCGTCCAACTCCAGGGATCCCCCCCTGCCTGGCGTAGGACAAATCCCACTTGGACTAAAACACAGGTACAGGCACAAGCTCGGCAAGTAGCCCGCAGCTACTATCACAGCACCGGACCTACCCAAGGTGCACCAGGGCTGTTTAGGTTCTCAGCCATCTAGGTCACCTCGTCTAAAAATAGTAACATCGAGGGCAACATGACGGAGTAGGTTTTTTTTTTTTTTTTTGTTTTTTTTTTTTTGCTTCTTCAGTTCATTAGTCCTTAGTAGCACTTTTCTCACTCACTGAGCCAGAGTTCTTTTTCATTAAAAAGGGGGGGGCGGGTGGCGGGGGGGGTATCTTTTTTCCATCACTAAGGGCCTAATTGAAGCCATTATCAAAGAGATACCCTCTGCTCTTGATCTCCTTGCATTTAAGCTGTTGGATGGAGCCTCTCATCTTCACCGAAAAGGCTCACATCACTTACAGTCTGTAATCGGTGATGGACATGAACACAGCACGCTACGAACATTTGGTCTTGCCAACCGTGTCGCCCCGTGTCGCTCGAGGTGGAAGAATGGGTTTGCAATTAATCGCGAATCCCCTGAAATTGTATATTTGAATGAAGCACTGATTAAATTGGATTGTTGCGCCATATTTTAGGTACAGGTAAAAAAAAAAAAAAGAGCCGTGCATTTGCTGATAATAGTTCCAAGAGACATTTTTTAAGTAATAATCTTTTTTTTTTAACACATGCAAGCCTGTAAATGGAGTTGCAGTTGCAAGTGGGCATCAGTAGGAGGAGGTGTAGAAGGGACCCGGCGCTGTATGAGGGTGATAGGAGTAATCAAGGAGGTAAGTAGGAGAACAGAGTAGGGGGTGGGGGGGGGCAAGGGGAGGGGGGTTCTCTATGGGAAGTTCCTGCAAATGGAGTGCACCACCTTTTAAAAACTCCTTTTTTTGTGTCAATTCTCCCCTCTGATTACCTGATTGCACTGCGTGACTGGGGAGAAAATCTGATTGCGTACAATTATGAGGGGGAAAAAAAAAAGCATTTTGATTATAAAGGGATCTGGTAAACTTGCATGCTTGTCATTGTGTTGTAAAAATTCGGCGTTGCTGATTTTGAAAGCAGCCAACTTTCACGTCGTGTAATACTCCTTTTTTTTTTTTTTTTTTTTCCCTTTATGTAAATGTAGTTGAAGAGAACTTTTTGATTTTTCCCTGTGTTTTGTACCAGGAGGTTGAACAACACTGGCCCGAAGATCCCAGTGAAGATATAGAACTGTCATGGTTTACAGCAGGTGAGCAATGCTTTTTATTTTTGCTATGTAGTTTTGGAACACTCCTGTTAAAAAAAAACAAAAAAAAAAAACTTTTTTTTTTTAAAAAGTTGCTCTTGACTGTGAAGAATTTTGAAAATTAAAAAAAAAAAAAACCAAACACTTCAAGTTCAAAACAAAGGGGAAAAAGACTTTTTTTTTTTTAAGGTGGAAAAGACAGGTTGTATTCGGCCCTTGAACCCAAATGAGTTTGACTCCCCTGGCTTAGACTGTTGACAGTGTGGAGGTCCCAGCAATACTATATGTATTATGTTATAGAGGACGTGTGTGTGTGTGTTTTGAGCCTTGTTTATGTATTTATAAATATACGTAAAACAAGGCAGAGCCTGTAAATACACGCAGTTATGAAATTCCTGGGATGCCTTAAAAGTGATTTCACGTTCACAATTTCCTGTACTTAGGCAGGAGTTAGTGCAGGATTACATCGGGTCACGGCCTAATCTTTAACCCGGGTGGGTTTACACCTAAAAAGGCGAAGAGCACAGAATAAGAAAATGCCAGCAATCTATATTTTGGACAAGAACAAAAGAGAGAGAGAGAAAAAAGTGTTTTTATATCTATAAACTAGACATGTGAAATATGTCTAGTTATATGTTATAGTATAGTTAACTATATAGTATTTATATTTATTATTATATTATACAGTATATATTATATATAATATATATAATA